TGAATTAGAATTCAAAACAAAACCAAAGGCTGAAAACAGCCCCTGTCAAAAAATGCTTTGCACTGACCTCACCTTTGCATGCCCAGCTTCTACAGGTAAAATCAGTTCAGCAAAACCAGTTTCTCTACTTACTTCTCTACTTAAATCCAAAGGGTGGTGATGGGGAGAATAGGGAACTTTCCAATGCAAAGGAGAGGGCATCCACTGCAAAACTACTTTTGCAAGAGATTGGTACAGAAACAATACACCAAAGAGCACCCAAAAATGGAAAAAAAAAAATCATTGTGAGTAGCTATGGGAGACAGAAAAAAAACAAGATGGGTATTATTAGAGGGATGCAACAGAAACATATTAAGGACACAGGGAAACTGTTAAGTCAGCCTTAAAAATGGAAGTTCACTGCTTCAGTCCTTCAGGAACTTTTACAGCACACACCAAGAAAGGGGAAAAAAAAAAATGGAAAAAGAAAGAAATCTGAGCTTCTCAGAGCTCAACCGGTAAAGCATCTGCTTGGTTTTCTTCCCTTCCCTGCTGTCAGCTTGAAGTATTTTGCAAGTCCTGAGCCCACATTCTAAGGAGATCAAGGAGGAGAAGACTCATCTGGGTTTAAAAAAAAAAAAAAAAAAAAATACAGGTTATCTGCTATCTTCGCATACATCCCAGAAAGTCAGTCGCTTGAAGGTGGTGCTGAAAATCCCTGGTCCAAGACCCAAAATACTTTTGCTGGAGAAATGATGGACAAATATATATAGGAACTATTACTCTATCTGATTTCTTAAACCACGTGTTAGACAACATTTTCGGAGAAAGAGTCTTCATCACTAATAGAGCACACTGGCTCCTGTTCAAGTGGCATACATAAGACAGGCAGAAGAACAAAAGCAAAGGCTGTGTTTAATAACAATATTATCCCTAAACACATGCAAAAGATGACAGTCAAAAGCTGAAAGACAGCTAATCTGTAGCTTCACAAAGTGAAAGTCCTTTGCTAACATTCAAAAGCTGACCAAACCAGATCATATCTGCAAGTCTCACTTGAATTACTCTCAATTTATCATTTAGTAAGGAGAATATGCCTTTTTTTCTGGCACAGAAATCAAGTAATTTTCCAACAATTTTCTTTGAAAACAGCCTTATAATGCATGAGAAGGACACGTGAAATATGAAGTAGCTGAAGAGAGGATACATTCCTAAAGATGAAACGGAATTAAGATTTCTGCCCCAAATCACATTAGAGAAACTGCAGGTGAGAGATGGGTTTGTTTCTGCCAACGGATCAGAAAATATTCTCAGATCCCTGTGCATCTTTAAAGGCCAAAAGGTCCAGCATATGGAGTTGCTTCAAAGTTTAACCAGTAGAAGCACAAAACCTGATTTTGCCACCTTAATCAGTATATTTTTCTTACGCAAATTAAGCACACAGGAACACGTTTTACACTGCGAATCTGAGCAGCACTCATGGACTACTCGTGTAAGGAAGCACGGTGCTTAGCACAGGCAGGGCTAAAGGAGCCTGACACGAGTCAGCTCACACAGCGCTCCAGCTAAACCAGACTTCCCTGAACATCCCGACAGAAAACATCCTGGCAAAACTGCCACGGCAAGATGGACACGTCAGCCTCCCTTTACGTTTAGTGACGGTTTGCAGCACTCTTGCCAGTAGAGAAGAAAACTTGCTAAGCATATTTATTTTGCCAAGAATATAATTTGACATCATTTAACATATGTTCAAACTTAGACTTCCCGGAGGCACTCTTCACCAGCGTAAATTACTATAAATAGTTTCAGGCAATCTAGGTAAAACTTGGCCAATCAGAAGGTAAGCCAAAAGGATACAGTTTAGGGGAAAAGTACATGGTTCTTTGAATAAATATGTGCTAAGATATGCAAATAAATAAACATACAAACTGTTTTCTCAAAACAATGTAGCATGGTATTTGGAGCAAATAGAAAACAACAAAATAATACATTTTTAATGTTTTTGGGTTAATTCCTCCTCTGTGGATTTTTTTTTAAAGACTGATTATGCTAACTTTTAAATCCTATTCCTTGGAAAGGCCATAATAATTCATAAGTCTCACATACAATGGAACACAGAGGGTCCGTTTCCATGCTATTTCTCCTCATCCCCATACCAATCAATAACTCCCACCAGATACTCCAGTTTCATTCATTTCTCTGAAGACTTCAGTAAATGCTAAAGGTTAAGTGACATGACCAAGGTTATAGGAAAATGAGTGACTAGATTTCTTAAACCGAAACAGCATATAATAAAGGGAAATGTGTTCCAGGCAAATTTCAATGTTAATTATGGAGACAATTAGTTTGATCACTATCCTGAAGTGAATTCCCTTTTCCTCCTAAGAAGTTCCCCCACAAGCTTCTCTGCTGAAAAAAACAGAGGAAGTGAGGAAGTAAAAGTCAATAAAAGTCTTCCTACTATGTGGCATACCAGCGATCTCATGCAAATAAATGAATTTAGGAGAAGGTTAATCACAAAGACCACAAGGCTTTCATTTTACTGCAAATACAATATAATTATAAAGTTGGGTCTACCGCACTCAGTTAAAAGATGGGGAAAAAACATCACATTGGAAGAGACACAGAATCGTCCGTATCCACAGAGCTCAGAAGATGAACAGCAATCTTGAGAGCTGGAGGGTGTACATGTCCTTCCTTGCTTCCAAGAGGGGTTTACTCTTTGTATCGCTGAGTCACATGAAAAGAAGCTGCACTTAGTAACTGCAGGAATCATATTTAACTTGCTGGTTATTTACTGGGACAATCTCTCTTTGCCCTGTTTCCTTTAGACTATTACTACTGTTAGCAAACGATACGCAATTTAAAGAGCCTTCACTATTTTTAATTTCTGTTTGTCATGTACATCTCAAGACTCACCATTTTGTTTTATATAAACACTAAGCTACCATTAGGTCTCAGCCATTAGAATCGCTTTTTCTGTAACAAAAGCTGAAAGCAGTTAGAAGATCTTTACTTTTTCTGTAACAAAATCAAAAGGAATACTTCAGTGATCCTGGTCCAGAAGTCTAGTCTGTGGCATTACATAAGTTGTCACTGTCCTGCCCAGCCTAAAGGGTTGCAGCTATTATCAAATGAGATCCAAATGAAAAAAGGTATATGATATATTAATTATCCCTTCCTAACAAGTCTCTATCTAGAAATGAAAATTCTTCTGTAGTCAAAGGCAGCCTTCTCTAGTCTTAAATGAGTTATTAGTAAGATCACTGTCCAGCTTAAAAGGCAAAGTAAATGATTTAATAATGGTTTCAGATTTGTTATTTCCCATTTAATGATATGGTCTCTTCTCGTGCTGGATTGGAGGGTTCCTGCTCGCCTTTCTAGGAAAATAAGTTATTTAGAGACATAAAAAAAACAAAACAAACAAAAAAAGGATAAAAAAAAAGGTGCAGTGAGACAGTCCATGGGACAATTTACGTACTTAGGATGTCGGATGTCTGGCAGGGATCGCTCCAGTGCTATGTTGTTGCTAACAAATATGTTGAAGCCATTTTCCCTGTAAGCAGAATCATCATGGTCTTCCTCTGTAAGCGGGTAGGGTTTTCCATGTTCACCTTTCACTACAGTG